TATCTTACACTCTTGTAAAGCACAGCGTATTATTTTCTGGAAAGAAATGTAATGAAGAAACAAAAATGAATTTCATAAAATTGGTTACATGGGCTGCTTTTATTTCCAATAAACAAATATAATTCCAAATTGAAAAATATATGTACACCAAGGGAAAATACTGTTAATAAAGAGTGTTTCCAAATGTCAAAACCATGCAGACTGTGTAGTGTTGGAAATAAACTCTACAATCCAAATGTCATAAACACTCAAGTGACCTTTGTGTTCCAAACAGAGACCAAATGGCCAGTCTGGCTTGTGTTGCCATGGTGACATACTTTGATGGAAGGACCTCTGATGAGGTTGAGCAGCGTGAATGATTAGGGGCAGTGCTGTGATAAATAATAATATGTGTCAGTGTAGCACCCTCTGCAAGAGATTAAGGGTGTGTGTGCTGAATAGATAGCATTGTTTAAGAAAATATACCAGCTAATGTCTATAATTAACGCGCAAATAAAAAGTAGTTTTAATATCTCTTTGGGGTTCTAAATGTATAAACATAGCATGAGAGAAAGACATCAATTAAATTTTAAGGACAAAAGTTAATCACAAGCATAATTTATTTTATTGTGCTTTTCAACAAATATCATTTGATATTTAGCCCAGGCACAGTATAAAGATAAATTCAACTTCAGTCACAGATGTTTGTCCCTACTATGTGGAAGGTATTGTTATGTTCAATGGGAATACTAAAATAAGAAAGACACCATGCTTGGTTGTGAATGAGTAATTAGTTCATAAATAATAAATTCTGCTTTGTTATAACTTAGTTTTAACAGATTCAAATTAAGGACCATAAGAATTCACTGGAGGAGAATACTAACATTTGGACATGGCAATCAGGGAAATCTTTAAGGAATAGAAAGTCCTTGAGATAGGTAAAAAAATATGTAGTGAGAGTCTCACTGGAAGATGCAAGATTTGAAGGAAGAGAAGCAAAACATATGTACCCATAAGTGTTATCAAATGAATGTAGCTGGTATACAGGTGTGAAAGGGGACACAGTTAGAGAAAAATGAGATTGGGTCAAAATGGCAGACTGAGCACATTCCTCATTCACCATAATTATCCTATGAAAATATGTTTACAAGGAAAAAAATCCATACTAGCATGGAAAACAAGAATTATCTAATAAATGCACCAGAAAACTTGAAGAATCTTTGATAGAAACCAGTCAGGATCATGTATATGGTAGGATAGGTGCAGAGGGGCTCCAAGCATACAGGGGAAAAGCCAAGGAACAGGAGTGGGCTCAGGGAAATCTTCAGGGTAATTATTGAAGAAATAAACCTTGAGCTGTAAGACAAATAGATCTTCTCTCCTCCTATAAAATCATGTACAACAGAGCCATCTAACCCCAGCTGAAAGCACCAGGGTGGGTGCTGAGCTCAAGGAATAGGCAGGACCTCAAAAATATACCAATATATGGGAGTGGCTGGGAACCTTCACTCTCAGAAAAACAAGTTACACCTGTTGGAGAGGATAAAGGTACACAAATGCTCTTGGTATGTTTTTGGAGATGACAAGAATACTCTAAATTGAGAAAATAAAGTGACTGCTAGGAAAACATGTATATGAGAAATGAAATGATTAGGATGAACAACTATTCGACAAAAGGGGTGAAAATGGAACAAGTAATGACCCATTAATCTAACAAAAACACTGATACAACCCACATTAAGAAAAACAATAGGTCAGACCTGCCTTTAAAACAACCTTTCTCTAGGGTTCTTACTCAATGATGAGAGAGAATCATTGATTGGCTGCCTCCTGCATGCCCCCTAGTGGGGATTGAGCCTGCAACCCAGGCACGTGCCTGACCTAGAATTGAACCTTGACATCCTGGTGCATAGGTTGACACTCAACCACTGAGCCACACCAGCAGGGCATTCCTTGTATTGTATAGCTTAGTTATTTCCTTTGCTCAAAGTAACTAAGATTTTCACACAATTTCTGCTAATTTTGAGGGTTAAATAAATAAAGGAACAAAATATCCAGGAGGTGTGGGGAGAGAAGACAGAGGGGGGAAAGAGAGTGAACTGAGCACTCAGAAGGAGGACCAAGGAGTCTGCCTGTAGAGCAGGGGGGATTCAGTCTGGTAGTTCCTCAGCGAAGTGAAGAAGGTTGGCAAGCCAGAAAAAGAGAATAATTGTCCTCCGAAAGAGCCCTTGTTGAATGTACATACATGATGCAAAGTTATACAATGTGTATTTGTAAAAAATAAAGACTCGGAAAATTTAGCTATAAAAATTTAACTAACTAAATTTGATATACATGAAATTATATTTTACAGTGAGACCCAAGAGAGTGCACACTAATTGTTGTATTTTAATCAGTTTTGACTACTCTCCCTGGTTCAAACAGAGTGTCATAATAGGATGGTCATGGGAATTAATACTTTGGCCAGAGCTGCTTGTTTCTCTAGAGAAAGGATGATGACAGTTATTCTTCTTCCCTCAGAATGATATGGAGATTCAGGACAAAAACTACAAAGAGAATATGTCACCCATTGCCCAATACAATCAGTGCAGGCTCCAGGAAATTAATGAAAATGTAAAATATTTGTAGCAAAGGGTCAAGCCATGACAATAAACATTATATGTAGATAATCGGGAATTTCATATTTCCCTTTGCATTCACTCTGCAGATAAGAGTGGCCTAGATCCGTGGTCGGCAAACCGCGGCTCGCGAGCCACATGCGGCTCTTTGGCCCCTCGAGTGTGGGCACGAAGTTTCAATCTCACTGTATGTGCGTGCCCGCACGTGGTATTTTGTGGAAGAGCCACACTCAAGGGGCCACAGTTTGCCAACCGCTGGCCTAGATTGTTATTAGAGTTGCTGATGGTTCAGTAATCATTTTCTAGAATAATAACTATTTTTAAAAAAGGTACATCTTATAGCAGGCACTTATAATAGATCCTTTTCATCATATATATATATATATATATATATATATATATATATAGTTTTTTATTGGTTCTGACTACATATTCTAATTGGGTAAAAAAGCATCTTGAACTCAAGTAGTAATTTTGAAAATGACAGTTTGTAATTGAATTTAATCAGGCACATAGACTTTTTCGCCAGAAACTAAAATAATATATGACCTGGAAAATGTGTCTAAAACGGAACATTTCTTTAGTTTGTTATTCTGTTGAAAAGACTAAATTATGAAAAAATAAACCTTAGATAATATCTAAGCAACACAAGTATTTTAACTATATTGTCTATTCTGGTCTAAATTTTTATTTTCTTTTGAAGGGCTCAAATAATTATTAAAAAACAAAAGACAAAACAGAGCCTAGAGCCATTTCTACAGAGGGTCCTCTCACACAAATTGCACTTCAGGAAGAAGCCTGCACTGAACTATCTGCCTGCACTGTGTTTCTGCCACCTGAGTCAGTCCTTATGAAGAATCCTATTTCAGCCAATACTTCTGAGGCTTTCCCCATCCAGTCAGAGCTGCATAGCTTTAACCAAGCACAGGATATCTGACCCATGAGGATAGTGAGGATTTTGAGTCATTTGAATAAGGACAGACCAATCAGGGATCACGGTCGGGGCTTCTGTCTATATAAGCCAGCTCCCCTCTGGCCCTGGAAGTGTACTTTCTCTTTCCATAGAAGACTGAAGACTGCATCTCCCTGGCTGAGCTGAAAGACTAAAGATGTCTAGTGGGAGCAGAATGGAACACACCAGCATAGTCTTCTAGCTGGAGAGGGATCTAGTGCCAGGGCTGCCTATAGCCACAGCTATGCTATATCCCAAGTGAGCTGTTTTACATTGAATAAAGTTTCCTTCTTCTCAGAACCCCAAATTGGGAATTCCCAATGGTGTTGAATTGGTGCCAATGACCAGATCATTGGTTGACAATGTGGAATCATGTGGGTAATACTAGTAAAATAGAATGGAGATAGAAATGAAGGCTTACATAATATCCAGCCATAGTGTTGTCTTCTTACCCATTCCCAGTGGGGGACCAGAACGGCAGGACCCTACACAGTGGAAGTGGTAACTACTCACTATGTTGCTAACACCAAACCCAGATTCATCTGCCAACCTTAGGCAACCTACCATTAGTACTCTCTATCAAGGGCTTCATTTTGCCAATATTAACTAGAAATGCCATTTTAATTCTCTTATTAGCAATGAAATTTAAATCAATTAATTTTGTTCATAAGTGTTATATTCAACAAAAGAAAATATAGTATTTTTTGATATTCCAGGTACTTTTCATAAGACATACAACTTCCCTAAATCCTTGAGATGTGTATTGATATTCCTATCTTAGAGTTGAGGAATATAAAACGCTGGATAATGTGGTTGCCTGGGTCTAAATTCAGATTCATTTGACTCCAAAATCTGTATTCTTTCATTTGTCCTATACTTTTTCCTATAAGAGAGAATGTGGAAGCTATTGACTAAAAAGTGAAGATCATAAAATGCATTTCAATCTGATAGCCATTCCTATTACTATTATCAAAGTTTTAAACAACCACAAAAACAGCTCAAAACTCCAGACGTATTATTCTCACAATGGTAATCTGAATAACAAAATTCTTCTATGACATAGTTAATGCTACTCAACTTTCTAAATGAGTAGATACTCAACTGAGAGCAGAACTGTTATCTGGATGATGGGTAAATTTCTATGAATTTAGGCTCATGGGTACATATGGGAAGTTACTTATGGTACTCACACCTGGAAACTCCTGTGCCTAATGCAACTTCCATACATTCTGCGTGGCCCTTTTGATTTTGGAGTTAGAGTCAATTAAAAACATAGTTCTATCTGGACAGGTAGGTGTGGTTAGTTATAAGGTTTTGCCAGCTGTTAGCACTTTATCTCAAATTAGATTGCCAGATTAACACACTTACCATTTCCCAGGGCTCTCCTAGGAAGTGAAAGCTGGGACCTATTTGTTTTGAAGGAAGAGGTGACAACAACTAAAGAACATTGAACAAATTTGAGTAAGACTCTGCATTGAAAGAAAATTCCTGTGAGAACAGAGATTTCATAAAACTCCAAGTAAGATGCCCTTTAATTCTGGAATTTTATAGTAAGATAATGTTATAGACAGGCAAGCTTCAATTGTTTAATCATTTTGCCTAGTAATGACTATACAGATTTTTAAAATTTCAACTATGGAAAAATAAACAAAGACTCTCACCAAAATCCTTGGGCAATATCCTTCGAGGGCACCCATACTGGCCAACTATGTGAATACTGTACCTAAACTCCTCACGCCCTCTAGTGCACCCTCTGAAAAAACAGCTGCTGGTTCTTGGCTTATGTAAGTATTTTCTGTTATAAGAGGAGAATTTCCAGAGCAGCTAGTGCTTAGAATTTTCAGTTTATGCTGTGTCTCCAACTCATACTGTTGTCTTTCTTCAGGACTCATACAAATTCATTACTTTATAAACAGGTGAGGCAAAATGACCAAGAAATTAGATTAAAATACATAAAATAACAACTGACCATCCTTTCATCAATGGGCTGCAGAGTTAGCCCTACATAAGATCAGAGTAGACGAGGTTATTTTATAGTAAAAACAATTCCCAAATCCCAGGGGCTGATGACAAGTATGCTTGAATTTCTCTTTCAGGTTGCAGACCCACTGCAGGTGAGCTGGAGGCCTGCTCCCCACTTTCTCTTTAATGTCTATGCTAATGGAGCAGCTGCTGTCACTCATGCTGTCAGTCACTGTGGCAGAGGGAAAGCGAGCTTTGAAGGATCTTGCACCAGCAATGAAAGGCATTGGTCATATTGCTTCTTCTCTCTCTCAATGGCTGGAACTAGTCTCATGACTCCATCCACAAGAGAGCAGGAGCTTCTAGTCTTCCATGTGGAAGGGGTGGAGTGGGGATATTGGTCCCCTCACCCCCAAAGCACACTACAGTGTTCTAAAAGTCAGGTGAAACAGGAAGTAAGGATAGATCTGATTTATACAGTGCATGAGATAAAAAATGAATATAACAGCTCAGGAAAATTTTAACTTTTTAATTTTAAGATCAGACAGGAATTTCTCTAGGACTCTTCAATGAAAGGACAATGTACAACATAGATTATATCATCTTTCCAATGGAATGAGGGTCTTTTCTTATAAGGCCTGTGTATGGGTTTATGACAGCATCACATAGCACAATAGTTTAAAGAAACGTGAGGGGTCAAATTATTGTGGTTTAGATATCTACCTTTTTGCCACTCTCCATTCAGGGACATATTTAAGCATTCCAACCACAGTGAGCACTAGGCTGGGTTCTCTAGAAAGCTTTTGGGGAAAAAAAAGCTATTCTTTGCTACCAGGGGAGAACCAAGCCTTAACAACTACCATCAATGAGTCAGTTAAAATCTAATTATGGAAGCTAAGGATCCAACAAGGGTTCTTGCCTAACTAGAAGTTCATGCTCCTGTTCCGAGGTGAGCTGAGGGAGAACCCGATATTTAGGCCAACATCCTTGTCAGACAGTTCTGGATTTTCCCCATGATGCAGAGAGATGGTCAATCAGTAGATCCCCCAAATTTCTATTGCATTGCCAGGGGAAAATTAGCTTTAGCCTGAAGTGTTTTTTTTCTACTTACTGAGATAAATTGACGCATAACATTTTCAGGTATACAACATAATGATTAGATATTTGTATAAATTGTGAAATGATCACCGCAGTCTAGTTAACATCTGTCATCATAAATAGTTACAAATATTTATTTTCTTGTGATAAGATGTACTTTCTTAGTAATTTCAAATATGCAATACATTATTATTAATTAATTAATTATAGTCACTAAGCTGTACATTGTACTTTCATGACTGATTTATTTAATCACTGGAAGTTTGCACCTTTTGACCACCTTCACTCATTTTGCCCACCCCTACCCTGACCTCTGGCAACCACCTATCTGTTCTCTGTATCTATTCTGATTTATTTCACTTAGCATAATGCCCTCAAGGTCCATCCATTGTTGCAAATGGCAAGATTTCCTTCATTTTTATGGCTGAATAACATCCCATTGTGTATACATACCATGCAAAGTGCATTGGGGGATCTATTAATTGAATCATTTATCCGCATCACAGGAAAATCAAAACTGAGGAGAATATTGGCTCAAATATCAGGTTCTCCCTCAGTTCATTCTCAATAAGAGGCAAGTGGGAATGGCATTGCAACAGCACTTAGAAGTTTCCTAAAAAAGGAGCCCTGGCCAGGTAGTTCAGTCTGTTAGCATCGTCCCGACAAGCTAAGGTTGTGGGTTTAGTCACCAGTCAGGACACATACAAGAATCAACCAATGATTGAATAAATAAGTGGAACAACAAATTGATGTTTCTTTCTCTCTCTCTCACACCCCTTCTTCTCTCTCTAAAAATCAATTTTAAAAAAGTTTTCTGGAAAGGAAACATGTTTGTGTTGAACCCTCCTCCATTTAAAAACTTCATTTCCTAGTAATCAGTCACCTACCAATTTTGGATGTGTTTGACGTACCAAGAACAAAAAGGCAAATTTCCCTACATGTGTGACACCTCTCTCAGATGTCAGAGCTGCTTAGTTACTATTTTCATTGTCATAATAGGCTGCTCAAAACTCCCTTTGTCTGTAAGTCGCTGGTTCTCCTTAAAGAGGTCATTTCTAATCCTGGCTGGTGTGGCTCAGTTATTGGGCATCATGAGAGGTCACTGGTTTGTTTCCTAATCAGGGCACAAGCCCAGGTTATGGGCTGAATCCCCAGTAGGGGACATGCAGGAGGCAGCCAATTGATGTTTCTCTCTCATCTATGTTTCTCTCTTTCTCTCAAATCAATAAAAACATAGATTTTTTAAAAAGGTCATTTCTAATGCTGTAGGAGATAAGCCTCCTTTTGAAAGAGAAATCATTTTGAATAATCTTCCATAAAAGTCATGTTTTGATTACCGTTGATTTAGAAAACACATAATGACCAAAAAACTACTACAAATTTAGTCACACCTTTAAATGCATTTATGTTACTCAACTAGTAATCATAACCTTACTTATATGAATTTAATGTATATTGGTACATATGTATGCAGATTTTTTTTCAGTCTACAAATGAAGTTTGGCCCATGTATGGATTCATAGACTCCTCATAATAGCTCCAAGACATCTAGGAGTTTACTACAAATGAGCTCAATATAACTATTCTCTATTCTCTTAAACTTTCTTAGGCTATTAGCCTTCATCCTCACATCCCCAATCTTCCCTTTACCCACTTGAACCCTGTGAGATCATCTTTAAACAAAATCTGAAGTACTAGATAGAACCTATTTTAAAACTACATATACATGCTAAAATGCTTACGGGTGAAATATACTGTTGGCCCAGAAAGGGAGTCACTGTGGAAACTGTCTCCTTGGTCCATCACCTTCTCTCAGAACCTCTGGGGGCTTGTCCCACTTTTTATTAGACCCACTCTAGTTTGTGTGCAGGTATTTAATTGTGCTTTTAACTTGCATTTCCCTAATAACTAATGATACTGAATATTTATTATGTGCTTTATTGCTTGCCCTTTGTATATCTTTTTTTGTGAAATACCTGTTAATATACTTTGCCACCTCCGTTGTAAAATCAAGTTATTTTCTTATCATTTGAATTGTAAGAGTTCTTTATCTATTCTAGTAATATGCTTTTTAAAAATTATTTTGAGATTTTCTCTTCTTTTTGGCTTTTGGTGGTTTGACAATGTTAATTAGGTGCATTTTTTTTTCTTGCTTGTGCATTTATCATAGTTCAGCTTCTGTGAGCTTCTTTTATCTGTGGTTTGGGGTGTGTGTGTGTGTGTGTGTGTGTGTGTGTGTGTGTTTAATCATTTGAAAAAACATTTGGCCATTTTCCCTTAGAACATTTCTCCTTTTTCCATCTTCTTTCTCCTCTCCTAGAGCTTTTTCCTATGTCCCACATATCTCATTCCAAACGTTCTTTTTCTCTGCTCCATTTTGTTTCTTCTCAATTATCTTGTCTTCCTGTTCATAGATTTCAGTTTCTATGTTTATCTGAACCGCTTTATCCATTTGAGTCATTGTTTAAACAATGATTCAGAGATTCTGGTGAAATTCTCCATTCCTTCCTATATTTTCACATACTTTCTTAAACTTCCATAAACTTTTAAATTTTAGAATAGTTTTAGATTTACAAACAAGTTGAAGAGATATCAGAGAATTCCCATGTACTCCACACCTAGTTTCCCTTGATTGTTAAGGTCTTACATTATTATGATACTTTGGTCACCAACTTCTAGCCTTTCCTCTTTCACTCCCCCATTACTACAATTTCCACCTATCTGTGATTCTACTCTTCCCTTACCAAGGTAGATTCCTCAGAACACATTATGAATGCCAATCCTGAAATTCCACATCCCACTTATATTACAGATGAAAATAGACTCGCTTAAGAATTAAGAGATAGTCAGTGGCAAGAAGTGGACAAAACCCAGTAAGCGCTATTACCAACTCAATATTCATTTTACTAAACAACAAAATAAAGATTCCTAGTTCAACATAAACTTCTTTTAAAACTAAAATTTAACAGGGAAGAATTCAAAATTCCTACTCAACTTAATCCACTAATTATCTTACCTGATATATCTATTACCATAATTATTACTACTTAAGTCAAAGTCACAATTATGTACTTAGTTTCTTAGATACTGGAGGAGGAAGACTGATTTAAAAACTTTCTGTTAAAAATCTGCAAAAATTAGCCATTGTTGAGAAAACAGAAGAGAACAAATGTATAGATACATTGTGGAAAAAATATATATAAACATATAATTTCTATTATGATTTTCAAATACTATTACTATGATCCTTACTATTTAAATTCCCAATATTTTATATGATATAAACAAAGAAAAATGAGAAAACAAAACAGTACATGTAAAAATACCACAACATGTAAATATTACCTCTCCAATTCAGAGGATAACAAAAAACTTGTTTAAAAGTGAATATTACCTTGGTTCAATTCCCCAACAGGGCACACATACCCAGATTGCAGGTTTGATCCCTGGTTCGTGTGGGAGGCAAGCAATTGTTGTGTCTCTATTATATCGATGCATATCTCTTATATCAATGTTTCTCTCATTCTCCCCCTTCCTGTCTCTCTAAGAAAAACAGTAAGAGGGAGAAAAAAAGATGGTGACTGGTAGGACGGAGGTGAGGGAGAAGAAGTGAGTGAGTGAGGGGATGAAAGGAGAGTGTGTGGATGTGTGTGGATGTGTGTGGATGTGTGTGTTGTGTGTGTGAGTGAGTGAGTGACAGTAAAATCCAGAAGGAGCAGCAGGGGCTGGCAGACCAGGCTCTCTAGGACAGGGAGAGACTACCACCACTGCAGGCGCTCCCCGGACTGCGGGGCTCGAGCACAGAGCCCTTGCCATCTTGAAGCAGAGAGCGGCCTCTTTTAGGAACTCATCAGCACCACCACCCAGACAGGCTTTGGACACTGCCCCCAACCCATCAGCCACTCCTGCTGCCCCACCCACAGACCCACAGACCCTGGGACATCCACCTCCACAGGTGCAGCGCTCCCACAGCAGTAAGTGCAACGTCCCCCCTCCCCAGCACCAGAGCTCTGGACACCACATTCATGCGTTCCCAGCTCACAGGCATCCAGGG